TCTCTAAGCTGAGACCTTGAAACTGAGATATCCCTTTCTCTAAACAAGGTTCTGGGCGTACTGCCAAATTGCAGATACTGATAGTGAGGATTCGTTCAATCAGTCACTTGCATGAACACAGAAATTGGTTTATAGAAAAGCACAAACAGAGAACACAGAAATGTATAAATAGAAAAGCACCAACATAACATTTTCCATCACAGTATTGTCGTGGAAATTCTAATCAAAAGGAAGAGAGACTGCAGATTCTTCAAACAATCATACTTTAATATTGATTAATTATTGCAATAATGGAGCTGGTCAACGTACCACCCGTAGGTGATTCGTTGAGAGCCCGACGACCAGGGTCGGGTCTCAGTTTTTATAGAAAGATACAATCTCATTTGTGTATGTGCAGTTTAGCAGGTGTGTGAGATCATGGTGGGAACATAGCGCACAAACAAGTGATAACGACAGTTTTGTTACTCCTTTCTGCTGATATAATTGTCACTACTGCTCAGGATAGCCTCTGTTCTGTTCATTTCTCCACACAGCTGTGCCCTTGAAAGATAGGAAAAGAACAGGATGGACCAAAAAAACTGTGGTCACTCTCAGAGGCTCTTTGTCTTTGGCCGTGTGACCAAGCAGCACACAGACAAAAATGAAAAATACTGGCTTCCTCTTACATGAGCAAACATATTATTAAAAATAGGTTTAATACAGCGCATGCACATAACATAAGCTTAGCATTAAGAACTATTAAAGTAATTCTTCATTACATTGTCTCTGCTATACAAGCTTAAAGAGGTTATACAGGATTTTTCACTCACAGTATCTAAAAGCAAAATTGAGAAATAATGTTTTCAAGTTGGCACATTTATGACATTTTGGCCTTAACCAGGCCTCCTTTAAGACTCCATATTGTTTCATCTGTAGGTGCTACAAAGCAAACATTGATGTTATATGACGTTTTACCACTTGCTCTGTAATTTGAGTAGTGTTTTGATTTCAATAACTTTGTAAATATTGATATATAAATATTGATAATAAACAATTTTTTATTTAGCTAATTTTTCAATATATTGTTGAACATAATATACTCTACAGGCATATCAAAGTTCCAGAGTGGGATCTCTGCTGCTTTTAGAGTTATGATCCAATTGGTAAGCATTGCCAACAAAGTGAATGTGAAAATTGATTAAAAAGGGTCACCCTCATCTGGTGATTTGCAGGATGTGCAATGATACAAGTAAAATGATTGCTGTGTTTGGTTACATTGCCTACTATGCTGTTTTCTCTGTATAAAATGGGCCATAATTTTGATATGCCGTAGAGTATATTATGCAACAACAAAAAAATATATAGAAACATTTGCTGAATCTAAAATGGTATTTTTTCTATATTCATATTTATATTTTCCAATATTCCGAAATTAATATAATAACAATAAAATATATATGCAAATACTACTCATATTACAGAGCAAGCAGTAAAGCTTCATACAGTGAGGGGAAAAAAGTATTTGATCCCCTGCTGATTTTGTACGTTTGCCCACTGACAAAGAAATGATCAGTCTATAATTTTAATGGTAGGTTTATTTGAACAGTGAGAGATAGAATAACAACAAAAAAATCCAGAAAAACGAATGTCAAAAATGTTATAAATTGATTTGCATTTTAATGAGGGAAATAAGTATTTGACCCCCTCTCAATCAGAAAGATTTCTGGCTCCCAGGTGTCTTTTATACAGGTAACGAGCTGAGATTAGGAGCACACTCTTAAAGGGAGTGCTCCTAATCTCAGCTTGTTACCTGTATAAAAGACATCTGTCCACAGAAGCAATCAATCAATCAGATTCCAAACTCTCTACCACGGCCAAGACCAAAGAGCTCTCCAAGGATGTCAGGGACAAGATTGTAGACCCACACAAGGCTGGAATGGGATACAAGACCATTGCCAAGCAGCTTGGTGAGAAGGTGACAACAGTTGGTGCGATTATTCGCAAATGGAAGAAACACAAAATAACTGTCAATGTCCCTCGGCCTGGGGCTCCATGCAAGATCTCACCTCGTGGAGTTGCAATGATCGTGAGAACCGTGAGGAATCAGCCCAGAACTACACGTGAGGATCTTGTCAATGATCTCAAGGCAGCTGGGACCATAGTCACCAAGAAAACAATTGGTAACACACTACGCCGTGAAGGACTGAAATCCTGCAGCGCCCGCAAGGTCCCCCTGCTCAAGAAAGCACATATACATGCCCGTCTGAAGTTTGCCAATGAACATCTGAATGATTCAGAGGAGAACTGGGTGAAAGTGTTGTGGTCAGATGAGACCAAAATCGAGCTCTTTGGCATCAACTCAACTCGCCGTGTTTGGAGGAGGAGGAATGCTGCCTATGACCCCAAGAACACCATCCCCACCGTCAAACATGGAGGTGGAAACATTATGCTTTGGGGGTGTTTTTCTGCTAAGGGGACAGGACAAATTCACTGCATCAAAGGGACGATGGACGGGGCCATGTACCGTCAAATCTTGGGTGAGAACCTCCTTCTCTCAGTCAGGGCATTGAAAATGGGTCGTGGATGGGTATTCCAGCATGACAATGACCCAAAACACACGGCCAAGGCAACAAAGGAGTGGCTCAAGAAGAAGCACATTAAGGTCCTGGAGTGGCCTAGCTAGTCTTCAGACCTTAATCCCATAGAAAATCTGTGAAGGGAGCTGAAGGTTCGAGTTGCCAAACGTCAGCCTCAAAACCTTAATGACTTGGAGAATATCTGCAAAGAGGAGTGGGACAAAATCCCTCCTGAGATGTGTGCAAACCTGGTGGCCAACTACAAGAAACGTCTGACCTCTGTGATTGCCAACAAGGGTTTTGCCACCAAGTACTAAGTCATGTTTTGCAGAGGGGTCAAATACTTATTTCCCTCATTAAAATGCAAATCAATTTATAACATTTTTCACATGCGTTTTTCTGGATTTCTTTGTTGTTATTCTGTCTCTCTCTCATTAAAATTATAGACTGATCATTTCTTTGTCAGTGGGCAAACATACAAAATCAGCAGGGGATCAAATACTTTTTCCCCTCACTGTATGACACCAATTTGCATCCCAATGAAACATCAGGGAGTCTTAAAAGAGGCCTGGGTAAGGTCAAAATGTCACAACTTTGAATAATTATTTCTCAATTATGCTTTTAGAAACAAATGTCAAATATATGTCAACAATCCTTCCTCCAAAGGACTATTCTATGGATTCCATTTTTTTGAAACCCCCAAAATCATGGTCTTTTTTTGTCTGAGTTGCTTAAGGAATCATTCAAGTACTGTAGGACATTGCATGAATTTTCTATTATAGACTTTAAGGATAATTATGAACATGGCTTTAGTTGGAAATGACTAACTTTATTTCTATATGCTCAGGTTGACTTTCCCACGGAATCACCCCTGTATGTAGGATGCAGAACAGGGTAGCATAGATGTTTTGCCATCTCTGTTTCCTCTGCTTCTCTAAATCACTAATCATCCACAGACACAACCTTTCTGTCTGTCATCTAACATTCTCTCTCTCCGCTTAGGATATTACTCACTTTTGTTTTGGCCATAACAAACAGAGAGAGTAAACAGAATGAATGCAGCAGAGATGACGTTGTGCTTTGTCAACAGCACTCCTTAGACCAAAATATAATTAAAAGTTTTTCTGTGTATGTGTGTGTGTTTCTGTGTGTGTGTCTGTGTGCGTGCGCGCGTGTGGCGTGTGAGAGAGATTATGCTATTGTCATTTGTCAGTGTCCTCTCTGTCTATCTGTAGGTGTGAATATCAGTGTGAACTCTTCAGGGACGTAACACAGGGTCCATTTCCTCAAAGCTCTCGTCTGTCATATACTTCGGGGAGATAGTGCATCTCTTCAGGTCTCAGGCAAGGTTAATCCTCATGCGAGTGTGTTTCACCAAACCACCTCTGTTACTTAGTGGTCTTTTAAAATGGCATTGACATAATCTTCAACTCCTCTCATCTCAAACTCCATATTCCCAGAATGTTCCCTCACCCTCTCCTTTCATCAACATCCCAAACTCAGCTTCCTTTGATCTACATGCAGGTTAGCAGAAACACACACATACTTTTGCGTACTTGTTTAGCCGGCATATGTAGGCATTTAACCTCTGGATGGCTGCCCAGAACAGAGCAGCCTGTGCAGGAAATGTAATGCAGTGAAACTAGTATGTAGCTGATTGTTGTACATTTTTGTACATTGCCCAGGGGTGATTTTGAAAGACCACACACACACGCACTTTGACACACACAGACACGCTCGCAATTCGATTGCACGGGTCTGGGTATTTCAACCTGAGGAGTTAGTTTAACCAACATAAGTAAACAGTTCTCTTTCAATTCTGATTGATGCCATAAGGCAAAAATGTACAACAATCAACCACATACCATTCGTGGTCCTCTGTAGCTCAGCTGGTAGAGCACGGCGCTTGTAACGCCAAGGTAGTGGGTTCGAGCCCCGGGACCACCCATACACAAAAATGTATGCACGCATGACTGTAAGTCGCTTTGGATAAAAGCGTCTGCTAAATGGCATATTATTATTATTATTATTATTATTATTATTTTCACTGCATTACATTTCCTGCACAGGCTGCTCTGCTCTGGGCAGCCATCCAGAGGTTAAATGCCTACATATGCTGGCTAAACATGTACGCAGAAGTATGTGTGTGTTTCTGCTAACCTGCATGTAGATCAAAGGAAGCTGAATTGTATTACCCAGTTCAGTGCTCTTTTCCCTGCTCATTAAGAGAGCATACTTAGCCCAGTGAGGGCTGTGATTGGCTCTTCGTCAGCGTTTGAGCACTGTAGCTGTATAAAACCCCAACTGTGGGAGGAGGCTTCACTAAGACACAGCGCACTACTGACTTACTGAGAGTACTACCAGTCATAATATTACAACCTTTTCCTCTGCACTCAAAACCACTGCAAATCATTCTCCTTGATTTGGATTTAGCAAAGAGGCAACATGTGTAAGGGATTAACAACACTGCCTGCAACCTGTTTGAAAAGGTAAGATGGCTATTTTAGTTGTTTGAGGTTGTTAGCATGTTGTTTTAGATCACTAGTAACAGACATGTAATACATGTGAAATCCTAACAAATAAATGATGTAATATCTGTACTGTAATGGGAGATTTTCAGACAGTATTGTATGTTGAATACAAGCCTTGTGTGCCAGGCATCTTGGTTCTGCTATAATAATAGGACACATGGCTGTGTCTTAATTAGATGTTTATACATTCTGTAGCCTAACACTAACCACTCAGTCTCCCTTCCCTCAGTGCCAAAGACATCAAGCACAAGATTGGCTTTCTGCTCCATAAGCCTGAGTTTCCACCAGACCAGGAACATATCAAAGAGAAGACCAACACTACCAAGAGGTGAGTTTACAGGAGAATACTGAAACATTTTAACCTTGAATGTATTGATTGATTTATCATTTATTTATGAAGGACATCAATATTAAGGATCTATTTTACCAGGGAGACCTGTTGTATGAGAGCAGCAAACAAACAATTGATTCTAATCATCATACATAATATTGAACAACACACCAGATATCATAGATAAAACAGCATTCAGATTCTATGAAATGTATTTATCACACCATGGGGAATGATACTCTCAAGGCAATAACCAGTGTGCACGTAGGTAAATAACTTTAATGCAGGTTGAATTGCTGTGTTGGAGTCCTCCCCCTAGGGAACATCTGCTGTCCCTAAACTAGTTAGCAAAGACAATCTCCAGCCTGACCTTTCCTTTCATTAGGACTAATCTAATCAATGCCCTTGCGATGAAAACAAATAGATGCAACCCGATAATTGTCTTCACAATTTCCAGTAATGCAGTGGTGTAAAGTACTTATGTAAAATTACTTTAAAATACTACTTAAGTTGTTTCTTTGGGGTTTCTGTACTTTACTTTACTCTTTTTTAAACTTTTACTTTTACTTCACTACATTCCTAAAGAAAATAATGTACATTTTATCTGACACCCAAAAGTACTCGTTACATGATGAATGCTTAGCAGGACAGGAAAATTGTCCAATTCACATGTGGTCATCCCTACTGCCTCTGATCTGGCAGACTCACTAAATACAAATGCATCGTTCGTAAATTTTAAAAACAAGAAAATGTTGCTGTCTGCTTTGCTTAATATAAGGAATTTGAAATTATGTATACTTTTACTTTTGATACTTAAGTATATTTTAGCAATTAAATGTACTTTTGATTCTTATATATATAAGTATATTTAGAACCAAATACTTTTAGACTTTTACTCAAGTAGTATTTTACTGGGTGACTTTCACTTTTAATTGAGTAACTTTCTATTAAGGTATCTATACTTTTACTCAAGTAAGAGAATTGGGTACTTTTTCCATAATTGTACTTATGGATCAAAACTGTAAATTGTACTTTTAATACTTAATTGACGTATTTTAGTATGCTTGGTTACTCATTAACTCAAAGAGGTGTATATGTTACGGTTGATGCTCATGGAAAATACAGTAGCAAATGTCCTGTTGTAAAGAGCATTATGTAAGATGGTAGATATGACATCTGCAGGTATCATTAAAATACAGGCTGTTAGCAATATGCAGGTCAAGAACTGTGGGATATCAACACACAACGGATGTACTGAAATCCGACTTGGGTTCAAATACATCTGTATTTGATTATGTGTTTTTAAATAATAATTTGCTGTGTATTTGATTATTTTCAATAATGTGGCCTGAATCAACTACTTCTATTGGAAGCATTTGAAAGTATTTTCCATTAATTTCCTCGAAATAGCCTACTTTCAAATACTTATTTCAAATACTATTTTCAAATACCTGGGTCAAATGCATGGGAGTGTATTTGAGTCATTGTATTTGAGTATTTATTTTAAAATACATGACAATACTTTCCAAGTGTATTTCCAAATACATTCCAGTATTTATTTTATATAATTTTTTTATTTCACCTTTATTTAACCAGGTAAGCCAGTTGAGAACAAGTTCTCATTTACAACTGCGACCTGGCCAAGGTAAAAAAAGCAGTGCGATAAAAACAACAACACAGAGTTACATATGGGGTAAACAAAACATAAAGTCAAAAATACAACAGAAAATATATATACAGTGTGTGCGAATGTAGTAAGTTATGGAGGTAAGGCAATAAATAGGCCATAGTGCAAAATAGTTACAATTTCGTATTAACAATGGAATGATAGATGTGCAAAAGATGATGTGCAAATAGAGATACTGGGGTACAAATTAGCAAAATAAATAACAATATGGGGATGAGGTAGTTGGATGGGCTAATTACAGATGGGCTGTGTACAGGTGCAGTGATCGGTAAGCTGCTCTGACAACTGACGCCTAAAGTTAGTGAGGGAGATAAGAGTCTCCAGCTTCAGAGATTTTTGCAGTTCGTTCCAGTCATTGGCAGCAGAGAACTGGAAGGAATGGCGGCCAAAGGAGGTTTTGGCTTTGGGGATGACCAGTGAGATATACCTGCTGGAGCGCAGACTACGGGTGGGTGTTGCTATGGTGACCAGTGAGCTAAGATAAGACGGGGATTTGCCTAGCAAATTATAGATGACCTGGAGCCAGTGGGTTTGGCGACGAATATGTAGTGAGGGCCAGCCAACAAGAGCGTACACGTCACAATGGTGGGTAGTATATGGGGCTTTGGTGACAAAACGGATGGCACTGTGATAGACTACATCCAATTTGCTGAGTAGAGTGTTGGAAGCTATTTTGTAAATGACATAGCCGAAGTCAAGGATCGGTAGGATAGTCAGTTTTACGAGGGCATGTTTGGCAGCATGAGTGAAGGAGGCTTTGTTGCGAAATAGGAAGCCGATTCTAGATCTAACTTTTGATTGGAGATGCTTAATGTGAGTCTGGAAGGAGAGTTTACAGTCTAACCAGACACCTAGGTATTTGTAGTTGTCCACATACTCTAGGTCAGACCCGCCGAGAGTAGTGATTCTAGTCGGGTGGGCGGGTGCAAGCAGCGTTCGGTTGAAGAGCATGCATTTAGTTTTACTAGTGTTTAAGAGCAGTTGGAGGCTACGGAAGGAGTGTTGTATGGCATTGAAGCTTGTTTGGAGGTTTGTTAACACAGTGTCCAATGAAGGGCCAGATGTATACGAAATGGTGTCGTCCACATAGAGGTGGATCCGAGCGTCACCAGCAGCAAGAGCAATATCATTGATATACACAGAGAATAGAGTCGGCCCAAGAATTGAACCCTGTGGCACCCCCATAGAGACTGCCAGAGGTCCAGACAACAGGCCCTCCGATTTGACACGTTGAACTCTATCTGAGAAGTAGTTGGTGAACCAGGCGAGGCAGTCATTTGAGAAACCAAGGCTATTTAGTCTGCCAATAAGAATGCGGTGGTTGACAGTCTCGAAAGCCTTGGCCAGGTCGATGAAGACGGCTGCGCAGTACTGTCTTTTATCGATCGCGGTTATAATATTGTTTAGGACCTTGAGCGTGGCTGAGGTGCACCCAACTACTTGTCTTTAAAGATAGATAATATCTGAATACTTACTTCGAAATGTATGTGAAAGTAATTGAAGAGTTTCATTCCATTTTCAGAAATGTTGGCAAATTAGCTTTTATTCTTTAAAAAACGTATAAAAGAGATTGATGTGTTTTTTCACCATCTAATTATGGGATTGGTTGTTCAATGACAGACGTATTTGTTTGAAATCTATCACTTGATAGTTTCATTTCAGAGAGACAAATAATCATGTTTTGTTGCAAAATGCTATACATCCGCCTCACTCTCAGGAGGAATAAGTAGTACTGCTAGGTTTTACACAGTCAAATGTAATAAATAAATATCAATATTATAAATTTTTATTTTTATGAATCAATATAGTAAAATGAAATCTATATGAAAAATATTTACATTTGACATTTTAGTATTTTAGCAGATGCTCTTTTTCAGAGTGACTTACTTACAGTTAGTGCATCCATCTTAAGATATCTAGGTGAGACAGCCACATATCACAGTCAAATACAGAATATTAACATTCCATTCCAGCTATACAATAGATATATAGTGTTTTACAACAAAACCCAGTTTAATAAACATCTAAAATCTATTGAATAAAAATATGAGAACAGTAATATTTTACAAACACATGAAGGTACCCATGAGCAATCATTTCTGACGAAAAAACACAAATGTGAAATTGGTGGATATAGTGTTTTGGAATAAAACTCTTCATTTGAGATATTTCAAATAGTATTTGAACCCAGGTCTGATTGAAATATTGGTTATTGTTAATCCCAGTATACAGGTGTATTAATGATGCTCTTTCTCTGGTTTTAGAGTTTCACCTGCTGATGTAGAGAAATGGAAACAGTCCTTCAACAACCTGATGAATAGTGAAGGTGAGTTTGTCACAAATCGAAGGAGGCATTGTATGGATACATTTATGTAATTTAGCAGACACTCTTATCCAGAGCAACATACAGGAGGATTTAGGGTTAAGTGCTCAAGGGCACATCGACAGATTTTTCACCTAGTCGGCTTGGGGATTCGAACCAGCGACCTTTTGGTTACTGGCCCAATGCTCTTAACCACTAGGCTACCTACCGCCCTACTACTGTAGAGTTGGGTAGTCTATCTTGCTCAAATGCGCTCAAATGTGAAAACATCTTCGATAATGGGATGGTGGTTTACTGAATTAAAAAGTTGTACAAAAAAATATTTGAATGAAGCTCTCTGCTGCCCCTTGTGTAGAACTCCTAATCCTCTGTCAAAACTCTGCCACTACCTATTACCAACCCACAACACTAATGTTACACCACAATACAGGACTACATGTCTTCAAACACTCTAACTTGAGTGACAATCATATCTCCCTCTCCCTTGTCTCTCTGACCCCTGTCTCTCTGTTTAAGAGACTATCATGATGCCTGTGTGGGCTGTAGTGTACTTGGCTGTGGGTTGTTGGGGACTTTACATGGCTCTTCGGCTGTGTTCTCATGCTCTGGTCATGTGCTACGTGTCTGTAGGCAATGCTTGGTGGCCCCTGAGGGCCTGCTGCTCTGCACCCTCTCTCTCTCTCTGTGTGTGTGTGTGTGTGTGTTTGTGTGTGAGCTTACTGATGGTCCCTGTGGTGTCAGGCTTTCTGTGGGGACACAGAGCAGGAGCAACGGCCTCCTGAGAACCATCCTAGCCTTGACCTCAAACATTCCACAGTTTCCTCCATGACTCCCTTCAGAGGGGTGCTCTCTGTTTCTCTCTTTAGGAGCATTTCATTAGGAGCATAATAGTGTGTAGCTTCATATCAATCACTCAACCCAGCACCCAGATTGACCTGACTAATCTATCCTCATTCTCTCTCTCTTTGTCTGTCTATCAGCTGGCCGTACAGTGTTCACTACCTTCCTGAAGGCAGAGTTCAGCCAGGAGAACATGGAGTTCTGGAAAGCTTGTGAGGAATACAAAACGTCAGCTCCAAAAAAGATGGCAGCTAAAGCCAAACAGATCTATGACCAGTACATCGAGGCAGACTCTCTTAACGAGGTAAAATGGAAATAAAAATAGGCTTAAACCTTCCCTTGGTAATCTCTGCTATACCGACATGGTTTTATTCAAAGGCAGTATTCTGTGTTACACAGACCTGTTGGAGTCATAATACACTTATGAGTAATGACCCGGCTCTTTCAATACATCGGTTTTCTCCATTAAAAGCTTTTAATAATCCTGCATGAGTGCCTTTGACATGGATTCTGATAACACTTAATACATCCTGTTGATGTATCCTCTTTTTCCTCTTTAACGATTCCCACTTTCTAAAAGCACCTGTGGTTGTTCCTTTGAGATTGCCGTTTTTGATTTTTATAGCGCTTCTTATGGCACCTTTTGTAGATACAGTATCCTTGTTGTATTGCATTACTTATATATCTCCATTTCCCTTTCCCTTTCAGGTGAACTTGGACTCAGCGACGCGAGAGGAGACCAGACAGAACCTGTCTAATGCCGGCCCATTCTGTTTCGACGAAGCACAGCAGAAGATCTTCACTTTGATGGAGAAAGACTCATACAGAAGGTTCCTCTATTCCAAACTGATCCAGGATCTGTCCCCATTGCCCACAACCACCCCACTCAGTGCTATGGAGAAGAGGGGTGGGAAGAGAGGCTGTTCTGAGAACAGTGGTGCATAGATGGAGCGAGAGAAACATTGCCGATTAAAGCACTCTGTCATAATCTGTGAGGGAAAGAGTAGGTGGTCTTGAAGAGAAAACATATTGTTATGAGTGGGTGAGTTTGAATTTTTTCTGTCCGTTGTTCAAGAGAACAATTTCAACACACATCACAAATAGCTTATTTTTGAGACGAGGGTATGCTTGGAGAGGGAGAGAAGAAAACTATCAGAGTTGTGATTTTTCAGGAAGAAATATCCTCCTCTTTCCCCTGATTTTCATTTTGTGAGGGTCTACTTTCATTCCACTGAATATCTTCCAGAGCTCTAACAAGAGTCAAATGGTTCAAACAGGCATTTAGGTATTTCATTCTGGTCAGCTCCCTGTATCCCCTCTGTCTGGCTTTCATCAAGGGCTCAAAGCTAAGTCATGCATCTACGCCAAAAATGCTTTCCGGCTTGAAAATGCTCTTCCTCAAACTGAGTGTTAAATTAGATTATCATTTCTGAATGAAGATAACTATGTCTGGATCAGCGTTAAAATATCCTTTCACCTGACTGATGTTTTGTTTGACTCTGTTTTTCTGTCGTTAATTTACCTTAGGCTAGTTTGTGCACTGCTGAGGTGTAGCTCACTTGCCCTCTGTTAACGTGCTGACGAAGTCATGACTAGGTGATGTTTTGATTCACAACACAGGGAAAAACAATGAGGAACTACCTCTCTATCCATCCCTATCCCACTTTTTGGGTGACCTGAACATTGACTGGTTAGCAACTAGCTGTCCTCTCAAAAGGAAGCTTGTGACTGTGCCTGTAATATGACCCAGGTTGTCACTAAACCAACTAGAGTGCATACCAATAGTGTTGGATCTGTGACATCCACTTGTATTGATCATATCTTCACTAATGCTGCAGAGCTTTGCTCTAAAGCAATATCAGTTTCCATTGGCTGTAGTCACCATAACATTGTGGCAATAACAAGGAAAGCCAAAGTGCCAAAGGTTGGGCTTAAAGTAATTTATGAGATCATACCAAAACAATTCTCAGGATTATTTTGTTGAAGATCTTGTGTCTTATGTGTATGAGGAAGTGAATCCAGATATATAACTGGAAGTATTTGTTAAATTATTCCTGCCAATTGTTGACAAGCATGCATGCACCGGGTAAGAAACGAACTGTGAGAACTGTTAGAGCCTGATCGATTGATGATGAATTGAAAAATTGTATGGTTCAAATAAATAATGCAAAAGAGGTGGCAAACAAGTCAGGCTGCTCAGCTGATTGGTTGACATACTGTAAACTTAACAAAAAGACAAATAAATGATATTACCAAAAAAAGATAAATGACATAAAACACAATGGAAAAATACTTTGGAGTACCTTAAATGATGTCGTGGGCAGAAAACCCAATTCATCTCCATCGTTCATTGAAGTTAATGGGTCATTTATAACAAAACCTTTCGATATTGCCAATCATGTCAATGACTCTTTCACTAGTAAAGTGGAAAAACTCAGAAGTGTAATGACTACAATTAACAGCGAATCATCATATTTTTGTATAAAATATCTAATAATGAAAGAGAAGGATTGCTGTTTTGAATGGACAATTTACTGTGGGAGAGGTGGAAAAACTATGGTTATCAATCAGTAATCATAGACAACCTTGATGGGAAACTATTGAGAATGGTAGCAGACTGTATTGCCACTCCTATTTGCTACAGTGCCTTCAGAAAGTATTCACACCCCTTGACATTTACCACATTTTGTTGTGTTACAGCCTGAATGTAATGTTGATAACATTTAGATTTTTTGTCACTGACCTACACACAATACCCCATTATGTCAAAGTGGAATTATGTTTTTCAACAGAAAAAATCTAATTAATTAAAAATTAAAAGCAGAAATGTCTTGAGTCAATCAGTATTCAACCCCTTTGTTATGGGAAGCCTAAATAAGTTCAGGAGTAAAAATGTGCTTTACAAGTCAAATAATAAGTTGCATGGACTCACTCTGTGTGCAATAATAGTGTTTAACTTGATGTTTTAATGACAACCTCATCTCTGTACCCCACACATACAATTATCTGTAAGGTCCCTCAGTCGAGCAGTGAATTTTAAACACAGATTCAACAACAAAGACCAGGGAGTTTGTCCAATGCCTCGCAAAGAAGGGCTCATATTGGTAGATCGGTAAAAAAAAAAAGCAGACATTAAATATCCCTTTGAGCATGGTGAAGTTATGAATTACACTTTGGATGGTGTATCAATACACCCAGTCACTACAAAGATACAGGCGTCCTTCCTAACTCAGTTGCCAGAGAGGAAGGAAACCGCTCAGGGATTTCACCATGAGGCCAATTTTCAAAAGAATAAGGGGCAAATATTGTAAAATCCAGGTGTGCAAAGCTCTTAGAGACCCAGAAAGACTCACAGCTGTAAATGCTGCCAAATGTGATTCTAACATGTATTGACTCAGGGGCGTGAACACTCACAGTTGAAATCGGAAGTTTACATACACGTTAGCCAAATACATTTAAACTCTGTTTTTCACAATTCCTGATATTTAATCCTAGTAAAAATTCCCTGTCTTAGGTCAGTTAGGATCACCACTATATTTTAAGAATGTGAAATGTCAGAATAATAGTAGAGATATAGATTTATTTCAGCTTTTATTTCTTTCATCACATTCCCAGTGGGTCAGAAGTTTACATACACTCAATTAGTATTTGATAGCATTGCCTTTAAATTGTTTAACTTGGCCTTCCACAAGCTTCCCACAATAAGTTGGGTGAATTTTGGCCCATTCCTCCTGACAGAGCTGGTGTAACTGAGTCAGGTTTGTAGGCCTCCTTGCTCGCACACGCTTTTTCAGTTCTGCCCTCAAATTTTCTATAGTATTGAGGTCAGGGCTTTGTGATGGCCCCTCCAATACCTTGACCTTGTTGTCCTTAAGCCATTTTGCCACAACATTGGAAGTATGCTTGGGGTCATTGTCCATTTGGAAGACCCATTTGGGACCAAGCTTTAACTTCCTGATTGATGTCTTGAGATGTTGCTTTAATATATCCACATAATTTTCCTTCCTCATGATGCCATCTATTTTGTGACGTGCACCAGTCCCTCCTGCAGCAAAGCACCTCCACAGCATGATGCTGCCACCCCTGTGCTTTACGGTTGAGATGGTGTTCTTCGGCTTGCAAGAACCCCCTTTTTCCTCCAAACATAACGATGGTCATTATGGCCAAACAGTTCTATTTTTGTTTCATCAGACCAGAGGACATTTCTCAAAAAAGTACGATCTTTGTCCACATGTGCAGTTGCAAACCGTAGTCTGTCTTTTTTATGGCGGTTTTGGAGCAGTGGCTTCTTCCTTGCTGAGCGGCTGTAGTGTCGAGTCATAAGTGTACAGATGTCTAGATCACCCGGAGAGCAGTGTTTCCCAAATTGCAATGTCTGCTCTGCTCTTCTTCGTTTAAACCCAGTACTTATAATTTTCACAAGATATGGGTGGCTCCCTCTACTGTCCAATCCCCTGTCTTCTATGGGGCGTCACCCTAAAAACGGCTCTCTTTGAAACTAAATAAACATCCTCTCAGGTTCCACTTAAAACCTTATCAAAGTCATAATCTTAATACACTACACGGCCTTTCAGGTTATGTCGATATAGGACTCGTTTTACTGTGGATATAGATACATTTGTACCTGTTTCTTCACAAGGTCCTTTGCTGTTGTTCTGGGATTGATTTGCACTTTTCGCACCGAAGTACGTTAATCTCTAGGAGACAGAACGCGTCTCCTTCCTGAGCGGTATGACGGCTGCGTGGTCCCATGGTGTTTATACTTGCGTACTATTGTTTGTACAGATGAACGTGGTACCTTCAGGCGTTTGGAAATTGCTCCCAAGGATGAACCAGACTGGTGGAGGTCTACGATTTTCTTTCTGAGGTCTTGGCTAATTTATTTAGATTTTCCCATGATGTCAAGCAAAGAGGCACTGAGTTTGAAGGTAGGCCTTGAAATACATCCACAGGTACACCTCCAATTGACTCAAATTATGTCAATTAGCCTATCAGAAGCTTCTAAAGCCATGACATCATTTTCTGGAATTTTCCAAGCTGTTTAAAGACACTGTCAACTTAGTGTATGTAAACTTCTGACCCACTGGAATTATGATCCAGTTAATTGTAAGTGAAATAATCTGTCTGTAAACAATTGTTGGAAAAATGACTTGTGTCATGCACAAAGTAGATGTCCTAACTGACTTGCCAAAACTATAGTTTGTTAACAAGAAATTTGTGGAGTGGTTGAAAAACGAGTTTTAATGACTCCAACCTAAGTGAATGTATACTTCCGACTTCAACTCTATGTAAATGAGATATTTCTGTATTTCATTTTCAAGACAAAAAAAGTTTTAAAAAATAACACTTTGTCATTATGGGGTATTGTGTGGAGAGCGGTGAGAAATATATATTTAATCCATTTTGAATTCAGGCTGTAACATAGCCAAATGAGGAGTCAAGGAGTATGAATACTTTCTGAAGGCACTGTATATATTTAACCAAAGCCTAAAGGAGTGTGTGTGTCCACAGGCGTGGGAGAATATAAAGTAATTCCACTGCCTAATAATAGTAAAGCACACTTTGCTGGCTCTAACAGCCACCCAATCATTTTGTTGCCTGTTTTTAGTAAACGGATGAAGACGATTGTGTTTGACCAAATACAACTACTGACTTTCAGCATGCATATAGAGAAGGGCACTTAACTTGTACTGCACTGACTCAGATGACTGATGATTGGTTAAAAGAAATGGGTAATAAAATGATAGTTGGAGCTGTACTGTATTTCAGTGCAGCCTTTGATGTTATTGATCATAAATTGTTATTGAAAAACTGACTTGCTATGGCTTTACATCACCTGCCATCACATGGTTGGAGAGTTATTTATCCAATAGATCCCAGAGAATTTTCTTCAATGGAAGCTTCTCTAACATCAGATATTTACAGTGTGGTGTCCATCAGGGCAG